GGGGGGGGGCAGGACCGGGTGGGCGACTGGCTCTCAGGCCGACGCCAGGTTCGCGGCGGGCCGAGGCTTGCTTGATGGGAGCCAGACGGGACCAGCCGGGCAGAAGCAAACGGCCTGCCTGTCCTGTCAGTCATCGGCTGCTCGGGGTGTATCGGCGCGTTGAATCAGGTCGGGACTCGGTAGTCGGTAGTGGCGCGGCGCGGGGTGGTTCGCTTCCCCGCCGCACCGCGGGGCGCTCACCACATCCGGGAGGTGCGCGAGCTACTGAAGACGACGCCCCCGGGCGCGGCCCCCACCCGCGTCTCGCAGAGGGGTGCATTTCGAGGGGTCCTTTACTAAATTGTAGCGTACACCGATTTTTCTGTTTTTCTTGATTTTTTGTGATTTTTTCTGACTTTTCGTTAATTTTTTATGGTTTTTTTAGTGATTTTTTTCATGATTTTTTCGTGATTTTTTCTATGGGTGTACACTGATTTTTTTTTGAGTGAAGGACCCCTCGGTGCATTTAGTCCTCGGCTGTTCCAGGTTTCCTACCTCGGCGTGGACACGCTCATGACGCGGTGCCCGCCCCTGGTCAAGGACATGTACTACAACGACGTGGACCTCACCCTGCCCTATACGGAGGCGGCGGTCGCGTACAAGCGGAAGACGTATCGCGGCTCCGTCCATAATATGGTGTAAGTACACTGCAATTTGAGGGTGTCTTCTTCTGAGTGTACATTACTGATCCGGCCGTGAACTGACAGGGTGCCGGAGGAGCAGCACGCCATGTTCCTCCCGGAGATTGAGGAGGAGGACGAGGCCGCGTCCCTGGGCATGCGGACGCCTAAGACGTCCATCCTCAGCCTGCATAAGGTTGGCCTGCCGGGGCAGAAGCACCAGCAACAACAGCAGCCGCACGAACAGACTGAGCAGCAGCAGCAGCAGCAACAACAACAACAACAGCAGTCCGGAAAAGGAATCAAGTCAGTCACTGGTATCTGGAGGTAAGCGCTGTGTATCCGAGCCACCTGGCTGGAAGCAGCGATGGAAAGTCGTCATAGGCAACGCGGGGACACCCGTGTTGGGCGGGTGGCCTATCGTGGCTTTCGCAGGCGCCCCCGGGTGCGGGACTCGAGCTGATTTTTCTGTTCCAGACGAACCAGCGACAAAAAATCAAAAGCAGATCTTAGTGGCGTTGCAACATCTCAAGCAGCCCCCGCCGCTGACTCCACTGACTCCGCTGATCTCGCAGCCCCCACCCGCACGGGCCACCGCCGGCTGGTCCTTGCAGACTCGGGGGCGATCGGGGACGGGAGCGGGCCACGGGGCTCAGCGTCCTCGGCGTTCTCCATGGAGGCGGAGCACCCAGACACGGGGCGCCACGTACTCCGCAACGAGAGCTTCCACAGCTGGAAGTCGTTCTTCAGCAGCGTGGGGGGCTCGGCCCCTGGCTCGGCCCCGAGCTCGCGCAAGGACCACGACTCTTCATCGCCCAGCCCCAGCGTCGCCAACTCTGACGCGAGCATGGTGTCCTCCGAGGACGACGAGGACCGGCAGGTGGCCGCGCAGGCCGCGGCGACGGCGGTCGGTCCCCGGAGCAGCCACTCCTCGTCGGGCAGCAGCGGCACGGGGTGCATGAGGGTGCGCGCCGAGGAGCGCCGCAACTCGTCGCCGTCCCCGGAGCCGGGCCGGCCGCGGCTGCAGAGCTGCCCCAAGCTGCTCGTGCTCGTGGGGCGTAACGACTCGACCAGTTCCAAGGGCCGCGACGGTCGTAAGAAGGGCGTGCGCTGGAAGCCCGTCCTGGACGATGTGCGCGGCTCCGTGCGCCGGCGGAGGGATTCTGACTGGAAGCCCGTCCTGGACGATGTGCGCGGCTCGGTGCACCGGCGGAGGGACTCTGGCGACGACCCGTCGTCGCACCTGTGCCGCGGGTGCCGCGAGCGGCTCGAGCGGCCGTACCCCTTCCTGCGCCGCCCCACGATACGGCGCCGGCCGCTGGGCGCCGCCACGGCCTTCGCGGAGCCGGAGATGCTGGGCAGCGCGCCGGACCTTGGTGCTGCCTTTGTGCGGGATGACTCCTACTGGCGCGGCGGCAAGTTCCCGGGCCTGGCGCTCGGCCAGCCTGCCTCGGCGGGCTCTCGAGGCATCCTCAAGAAGATGATGTTTTGGCGCGGGGGCCATGGGGTGGTGGACGGCGTGATCGGCGTCCGGGGTCTTGATGGGGCGGCCGGGCTGCACGACGGGGACGGGGCGGCCGCGGGCGGCCTGCCCCACACCAAGTCGGCCGCCAACTTCATGGAGAGCGTCATCGTGACGGTGGAGCCCTCTCCCGTGAGCAGAAGTCTGCCAGACATCGCGGCGATACGGGCCAGGACCTCTGTTCCCGGGTTGAGCTCGTTACCCTCGTTGCCAGGGGTGCCAGACGAGTCCCTCAATCCGCAGCTCACCACGCCGGTACGCTCGGTGAACCTCGACGAGCCGGAGCTCGGTGTCGGTGGTCAAGGATCGGCCAGTGGTTCCGGCCAGACCCCTTCATCTGAGGCTGCTGTGGAGGGTGGGCAGCCGCAGCCTCTGCTTCCCGCACCTCTCACCAGGCCACAGCAATCAGAGCCATGATCGACTCTTTTATCCCGTGTGATGGGGTAACTCTTTACAGGGTTAGCGTTCTTGACTTTCCTATTCTCGATTTCCTCGCTTCGCCTGATAGTCTGTGCAATCTCGCCTTTGAGTGTTGTATGGTAATCCTGGTTTTCTCCTTAAGCAGCAGTGTTGTGGCAAAGGTTGAAGTTTATTGAGTGATTGGAAAATGTGGATTAGAGCACGGACTGTATAACTGATTGCTCAAACGCACTTTGTCTACTTGTCCTGTTTCATTCACCCTGTAAAATTGATGTTATACGTTCAATGATTGTTCTTTTTCTAAAGTGTCAGTTAGAGGCGGTTTATAAGACTTTTGGCAAACCATTCAAGCACAGCGCACGGCTGGCAGCAATCATTAGAAGCTATTGCTGCTCTACTTTTTGTTGTCTTCCATTAAACATTTAAGTTTCAGGTACTTTATGATTCTTGTTAAGAAATTATGAATTTTAAAAAGAATTTTATTGATAA